TAGTCTTAGTCTCAGAAGAGAGTGTGTCTCAGTGAGTCTCTGTTTCCTTCTGTTGGAAAATATTGCCGTTCCTCCATTTATCCTAATTGACTGATGTTACTGGATTTAATGTAAGTCTGATACTGAACTGTTTTTGACACTGGGATTTGATATTTGGATTATCCCTGGATTGAAAAACTGACTGATTTATCTGTGAATGACTTTTGGACTGCCTATTTTGGACTTTGCTTAACATTTCTGGAAATAAAAACCTACATTTACTGTACAGTGTATCTGTGTGCTGTGTGTGTATTATTCAAACACTGCTCTCAAATACATCTCTCCCTGTATGCGCTCATTCTCCTAACGGGGAATTACCTCAACAACCTCCCTTGACCTTGACTGTATCCCTCTGTTAATACAATTTAGGATTTAGGATTGCATTGACTTATTTTGGCTGCTGCTGCTGCATACTCTTAGCTCATAGCAGAATATAAACTGACAGCAAACTGCACTCCTTTACTATCACTGATGTTACCTCGAAGGGTAATGAAATGTCTGCAGGAAAGCAAGCAAGCTCAAAGAGCACCAAGGGCCCCTCAAACATTCATAACCCTCTGTCAGTCTGATATGTGGAAAGATTGGGGAACGATGATGTCAGAATTTCTGGGGAGAAATGTCTCTTGTATTGGACAATTACTTTCCATCAGATAACAGATAATCAGAGTTGGAAGGGACCTTGTAGCTCATCTAGTCCAACCCCCCACCCAAGCGGGAGACCCTACACCTTTTCTGACCAACGGCAGTCCAATCTCTTCTTGAAAGATGTTAAGTCAAGATTGAAAATTGCCAAGAAAGGAAGAGAAACAACAACGTGCCTTCAACAGAGGATCTTCCAGGTGAACCTAGACTATAAAGCCTAGCATTCCCAGCCAACATGGGAGTTGTAGCACCAGCACAGTTGGAAAAATAACAGCAGGGTAAAGTCAAACTAAAATTCTGGCTTGCTCAACTAACCATGGTTGTGTTTTCTGAACCAGTGTGGAATATCTCTGGAGCAAAGCAACTCAGTTACTCTATTTTATTTTTTTAAAAAAATTTAAACACCAGGCAACTGTCTGGACTTCAGCACCCAGAATTCCCCAGCCAGCATTATGGCTAAGGCACTAGGCTAGAAACCAGGCGATGGTGAGTTCTAGTCCTGCCTTTGGTTTGAATGCTGGAGGACTTTGAGCCAATCACTAGGAGTTGGTGAGTTCTAGTTCTGCCTTAGTATATAAGGTGACCTTGGGCCAGCTCACCTCTCTCTCTCCCTCGGCCCAACTCGCCTCACCGGGTTGTTGTGGTGGGGAAACTAGGAAGAGGAAGGGGTGTGGATAGGTTTGCCAGCTTGCGTTATTTGCAAAAATAATAAAAAGTGGGACATAAACACAAGGAGACATGAAGAAATACTGCATTGCTGAGCTGTCTGGGGAATTCTGGGAGTTGAAGTCCACATGTCTTAAGAGTTGCCAAGTTTGAAAAACCACAGCTATACATCTATCTAAATTGAAGAGAATCTTTGTAGCTCTGTGTTAAACTAATGGGGTCCTTGGTGCTCTCTGAGCTTGGTGGTTTTCTTGCAGACCTTTCATGACCCAACTAGGTTACACCATTAGTGCTAGAAGAGTGTGGGGTATGGAATGGGGAGGAGTGGGAGGAGGACTGTGGGATCCTTGGTGCTCTCCGAACATGGTTGTGTTCTTGCACAGACACATCTCTTTCACTTACTCACTCACATACAAACACACACCTCTCTCTCTCTCTCTTACACATACACACACACCGATATTTCACAACCCAACTAGGTAACATCATCAGCGCTAGAAGAGAGTGAGGTTTGCAGGGAGGAAGAGAAGGAAAAAGAAGAGGAGGAGGAGGAGAAGGGGGGGGGGAAGACTGTCAGATCCTTGATGTTCTCCACGCTTGATCGTTTTTTTTGTAGACGTTTCACCATCCAACTAAGTAACAGCATCAGCTCCAGAACATCTTATTCCGGGTGCTAGGAACAGGGGCCTGTGGAGTCCATGCAACAATTCAGCTGAAATCTGTCATATTCAAGACCCTCGGCTGATAAACTAAGTTGGCTGGAACCACACAGGTCTTTTCCTAGATGCCTCTCTCGAGGTAAAAAAAGCAAACAAATAAACAAAACCCGGGCACCGAAGAGAAAAACACACCCTTGTGTAGTCATTTCCATGGAAATCAAGCCCCTTCCCCCCCCCCCCCCCTTTTTTTTTATCCATGTCCCCAACCGCTGCCCTGTTGTTGCCTCCTTTGTGTTATTTTTAGCTGTCGCAGCCTCACCCCTCGGCGAAGACAATACAAATTCCCTTTCAAGGATTTTCGCTTTGGACCAAAATAAAAAAAATAAAATAAAATTAACCTGGCTACGTTTCAGGAGTGACAAGAGGGTCACATAAATAGCCCCAGGGGGCTGTTGAGAGAAAATGAAGATTTTGAAACCCAACAATAGAAAAAGGAGGTCGAGTCCCAGCTGGGTTTTTTTTTTGCAAGACTTACAAAGAAGGGAGTGGAGCAGGAGAGGAACTGAAAGGAAAAAAACAAAACACAAAAAGTTTTTGCTTCAGGGGTTTTGGTTTTTTTTGCAGATTTAATCAGAGCAAACAAGGTCAAGGTTCCTTCGCAGAGAAGGAATACAAGCATACACACAGTTTCTCTCTCACACATCTCTCTCTCACAGATGTGTCTATATTATATACACATGTCTCTCAAAAACACGTCTTTCTCCCTCACACATACACACATATTTTTCATAGGCACACCTCACACATGCAAACACAAATACCCGTCACACAAACACAAACTCTCTCACACAAAGACAAATGTTTCTCTCTCACACACAAACACACCTTTATCACACACATGGAAACACACACTTACACTCATAC